CGCCAGGCGATTCTATAAAGTCGAAAGAGATTGTGGGGGTAGATGATCAAGCGGTTTCTCCCATTTATATCCCACAAGCGCGCTAAAATGAAGATGAGGCATGTGGCCGAATCAGGAAATTAGCGTTGGGAATGTCGAACATTGATGATATTCGAATGGAGAAATGGATATAAGGCATGAAACTGCGGCATAATCTAGCCTGCATTGGTATTCAAGAACTTGGTTACTTTAATTGCTGGTTTCTTCCCTCACATTTTAAAATTACACCTTTAGTCGCATCAGAGGATCACAACGCGTCCAAATTAGGCTTAGTTTTACGCTGTTAGTTTTCAACTGTTTTTATAGTAAATGGTGGTGCTAGTTTAGCTACGATGGGCTTGATTTAATATCTTTGGCAGCTGACGGACGTTAACAGACAATCGAGCAAGACAGCTTTGGTGAAGACTAACAGGTTACGTGTTTAAAGCACATGCGTTAGTAACGCAGCATACCTTAATCACTCATAACACTTCTCTTCTGAACCCTTTTTGGTTCCTGATTCGTGCTACTTAGATCAAACATTTCGAGATAACAATTCGAAAGATATCTTTGCTACTTTTGTTGGTGTTTGAGCTCTATCAGACGTTTATCGGCTAGGATCGGCATTACATGGCAATCCAACACCCACAAACGCCACAAGGTCCAAATCAGGAATGACAAGCATGCTATTCAGCTATATCGTAGCTATAGGGAAATCAAGATTGCCTCAGCAAGTATACGTTAAACTCAATCCTTTGCGATGCATTGTTTTTACAATGACAGCAATTTAAATCAGTATAATTGGTAAAATTTCCAGTGATTGGTACTTGCTATTCTACATCGCGAAATAGTAATAGAGAACCTGTATTCCAACCACAATCGTCCAGACGCGTTATTCGGTCATCGTCCTTCTTTGATTTCTTGCACCTCTTTGATCAATCATACGGTCTCCATTTCATTATCGGAATGCTTAATTCGATATATTAATCTCGCGGTTGTCTGATGAAGGTGATGGTCTTTTTAAAAGAAGAATGTCTCCTGAGGCAAGCAAAACATCTATGATAACATAAAAAGAAATCAAACTCCTAATCACAAATTACCTCTTCATAGCAACTTAAAGTACCTATTTAGTCTTTAGAAAAATATTACGTCATCGCCAAGGTCTTGTTCTTCTAGGTCCTCAAGGATTTAAGACAGCACAGAGGGAGCACAACATACCTTTCAAATAATCTAAATCTACATTACAAATATAAATAACTTCACTTGATACGGAAAAAGGTCATACCAGCCTTTGCAATTTCAGCTTCGTGAAGCAACTTCTCGTCGTCCTCTCTCATAAATATCTTGTCTTGGTCAATTTTGCTAGCGTCGGCATTAGCTGCTTTGTATGCCTCCTGGTAAGCTAATCTGCGCCGATTCAGGTCGAGTGAAGGGCGTGGATCTGAGTGTGGGGAGATAAGAACCAATGCAGTGTTTTGTGGAAGATGTTGATGTAATTTCTCAATACGGTTGTTAAGCGCAGCATAAGCTGATTCAATAGGTGCTGTTTGTACTGAATTGGCGCTCTCATTTGGTGAATTACTCCAACCTAGTGCCACCTGCAGTTCAGTGAGTCTGCCATAAACGAGATCGTGATCTTGAGATGTTTTTATAACACCATCTATTATCTCATCATCGTTCTTGCACGATATACTTGTCTTTGCTTTCATACCATGAAATTGACCAGGGTTGCCATAATCAACACAGGCTCCGACCTTGTTAGGCTCGTCTGTATTAGTAAGATGAGACTGCTTTACGCGTGCGATTCTGGTAAAGATAGATTCCATCTCATTAGGCAGACTACCAAAGTTTCGTCCATACTGTAGTTTCTTCCTGAGAAGCTCAAGGCAACTCTTGGCGTCTTCTTCGGGGTCGTGACCATCAGTACCGCTCTGGATATCCTTATCACACCACTTTTTCATTAACCACTTCAATGATGGCTTGAAAGGCATTCTGCGTGGATGCTCATACACTAGTGCGGTATCTATCACCCAAGGATGACGGAGTTTCAAAGCCTTAAAATCAGATTCGAGGGAGTGACCAATGAGAATGGTGGAAGGTGTGATCCAATCAGCGACCTTTTGCTGAGCCTGTTTGTGGTCGAGAGTTGCACCATCGAGAATGTCCTTAGTAAGTCCAGAGTATTTGGAGAGGTAGTCGACAACGTTGCCAGAAGGCTTAACGAGCTCGTCAAGAACTTTTTCAGAAGACGCGTAGTCGATGAGAGTTACCCTGGCCAACTCAGACCCCTGATCAGTCATAACCATCTCACAATCCAAACCGTAAACGCGTGGGTTGTTGAGACGAGGGTAGACTTCAAGTTTCGGAGTTTCTAGCCAACCATCATCTTGAATACAAGTGCGCTGAAATTGAGACAGATTTTCTAGATGATCAGAATCATCAACGCCGTCGTTGAGTGGTAACGGGTACTCTGGTAAAGATTTGACGTCATCACCAATCCAGGATGGGATAGGATAAGCGTTTTCGCGCATATGGTTAATGTCGATGAGGAAAGCGGGTGGTGAAAGTTTTCCAGGGTTTGGGAGGTTAACACCGGCTTTTTCCTGAGCAAGTTTTTGTTGTCTGGCTTTCTCGGGAGGAGGAATTGGGGAGTTGAGGATGTGCTGAGCGGGGGAGTAAAGGCGCTGAGCGTCACCTGGAGCTCTCACGGGTAAAGCGTGAGAGTATAGGGAGTTGATGATAGGAAGCAAATTTTCAGAGGGATTAGAGGGGGATAAAGGGAAAGGCTGGGGAGCGTTAAGCTGTGGGTTATCGATACCTAAGCAAGAGAAAGTGATACCAGGAATCATAATAACAACAGTATGTTGAATATTTGAGTGATTACTGACATTCATCCAATTCTTCTTTTGTCCATCTGCAGAAAGGTGCAATATTAAATCCCTTATGTCCTGTAAGTGAGTCAGAGAAAAACTTCACATTTGAACAAGAAGGAGACCGACGTGAATAGCGTATCTGTTGTTTCTTCTGTTAATCTGATTCAAATCGAAAGACATTGTTGGTTTATTGGTTGTCGTTGCAGCTGCATGAGATTTCTTATGTTTCTTCTGCTGCCTCTTTATCTGCTTGAAATTGGCTGAGTCTGTTGATTCTGTGTGTTCTGTATCTTCAGCGCTTCTCTCCCTTTTGTCGCCGATGCCGCTGCCGCTGCCACCGCTCATCAACGTTAATAGGCAACCCTCAAGATAAAGATGAGCGAGGATGCTAAAAAATCATTTAATTTGGCTTTAAATTATTTTAATAGCGGTAATCTTGATCAGGCTTTGAAGTTTGCAAACAAGTCACAGCGCATTGGACACATGCAGCAGGCAGCTGACCTGATATCCCAAATAGAGGCTATCAAGAGGGCTGGTGGTGGCAAAAGTACAGGCACAGGTACTACAACAGGCACTCCCACAGACACTCCCAATCACACCCACTCCCCCACCTCTTCCAACCTCCGTAATCGCAAAGAGAAATCTGAGAAATCTGAGAAATCTGGAAAACCTCAGGAATCTTCAAACAAAGGCTGGACTCCTGCTCAACAGTCCCTCGTTAAGCGTGTTACTAGCTGTAACACCTCTGCTTATTACGAAATCCTTGCCATTGAAAAGACTTGCTCAGACAACGACATCAAGAAAGCTTATAGAAAACTCGCACTTCAATTACATCCTGATAAGAATTCAGCTCCAGGCGCAGATGAGGCTTTCAAGTTAGTCAGTAAAGCTTTTCAGATCCTCTCTGATCAAGATAAGCGTGCTTCTTATGATAAATTTGGTTCAGATCCTGATGCCAGATTCGGATCCGGTGGTGGTGGTGACCCATTTGCTGGAATGAGATCTGGAATGAGATCTACAGGTCGCGCAGGACCACAATTCGAATCTGAAGTTAGCCCAGAAGATCTATTCAACATGTTCTTTGGTGGTGGAGGCGGATTTGGTGGTGGTGGTGGT